GCCAAGTTATGGCACTCGCACCTTCGGTCGACCATCGGAGGGCACATCCTCTCTCGCTATGAGCCCATGCAGTTGGGAGGGCGCAAAGGGGTACACACGGGGTTCGCTCTCGCCGCTTTTCGGTGTGCTTGGGACCTCTCTGTTTCAGCTGGGCGTTGTTTGGCCGTTGTCTTTGTTGACATCCAAGCCGCCTATTATGAGGCCAGTCGGGACTTGCTCTTTGACGGCTTCGCAGCAGATGCCCAGGTGCCAGAGCACCATCACCTCGCAGGTCTTGTCTTGCAGCTTCAGCAACAAGGAGCTCTTGCTGCTTTAGGGGTCGCTGACGATGTTGCTGCCCTGCTCCGTGACTGTGTGGCGCTATCCCACTGGTCCTTGTCGGGCTCCTCCAACATCTTCCTTGCCTCCCGTGGCTCTCGTCCCGGGGATGGCCTCGCTGACATCCTGTTCGGAGCGCTCTTTGCTGTTGGATTGCAGCACATACAGCGTGCCACTGCGCAGCTCGGCATTACTCACACCAGTGCTGGAGTTGAGGTTGGCTTACCGCCCGGTGTTAAGCCCATTGGGTGGGCTGATGACCTCGCGGTCCTTGCTGACTTTGACTGCCCTGCTGATTTGCAGGCTCAGCTTCCCCAGCTCGTCCGTGTCATTCTTGAGACCCTCCGACTCCTCCGTTTCCGGGTCAATCTCGGCGCGGGGAAAACTGAAGCCTTGGTTGACATTCGAGGTGAAGGGGCTCGTGCTGCCCGTGGGGCCCTGCTGAGCGGGGACGCACTCCTGCAGGTCTCCGGCTCGGACTCCATCCGTCTCTGCCCGGAGTACAAATACTTGGGAGTTGCTCAACTGCCCCGAGATACTGGACGCAGAGACTGCGAGCTCGCGGCGCAACGGGGCTCCGCTGCGGCCTCGATGGCACGCACCCTCCTGTGCAGCAACTGCCTCCCGTGGGAGCTCAAGCGTGCTTGGGTTGCGGGCAGAGTTCTCCCGTCGGCGTACTCCTCGCTCGCTATGTCTCTTGCGGAGTCGGGCAGAGCGACCGCGCCGCTGGCAGGCCTTTTTGAGCGCACGGCCCGAATTCTCTTGTCCTCGTGGCAAGTAGGGCATAAGCTCACTACTCCGCTCCTCCGGCTGCTTGCGGACGTCCCTCCACCGGACCTTGCGACTGTACTCAGCCAATGCCGGCTGTGTGTGCAGCTGTTCTGCAAAGCACCTTTGGCTGTCCGCGACATTGTTGATGCCGCCTGGAACAGGGCGCTCCCGTGGTGCCAGGCCCTTGTCTCGGCCTGCATGCGAGTGGGAGTTTCCCTTGACATCTGGGATCCGGCCCGGCCCCCGGCGGTGACGGTCCTTTTTGTGCGGAACCATGGGCGTGCCCTGCTCCGCGCCTGCAAGGCCCTGAGCAAGTTCGGACACCGTTATGCTGCCTGCGCCCAGCTGTGGGACGACCTTTCGACGCGGAAAGCTACTCACGTGCTTGGTGCTGCGCAATCCTACTGCTGCCCTGTCTGTCAGGTCATCTTCCCTAGCCTGCACGCTGTCCGGGCCCACCTTCACCGCAAGCATGGAGTCCTCTCTGATGTTACCGCGTACATGGCGGGCTCCGTGTGCCTCTGGTGCATGCACGACTTTCATTCTTCTGACCGTTTGAAATACCACCTGCAGACGCAGCGTTCCTGCTTGCACGGACTTCGGGTTACTGTCGGCCCGGTGTACCAGTACGGCTCCGGCACTAAGCGCAAGGGCCGCGCTGCTCACAGAGGTGTCCCTCCGCAACGGCTCTGCGGGCCGTGCAATGCCACCCCGGTCCAACGACGCGCGGATCGCCTGGGCGTGCCTGCTACCGCGGCCGAGCTTCAAGCGGAGTGGGACGCGGTCCTTCGTTCGCCGGCTCTCTCTGACCTGGTGCCTGGCAACCTGCATCGTGTCACCACGGGGTCGGCTCCCACCCCGGTCCGTTGAGCCCTGCCCCCAAGGTGCGGCCGCTTGCGATGACTGGGCTCTACCTTCTCCTTGGTGGCCTGGGCTTCTTGCCCTCGGCGGGATCTTCCGCCTGCCTTCCTCCTGGCATCGTCTGTGGTCCATGTGGTCTGCCCTGGAGCTCTTCTCGCCATGGGAGCACCGTGCCACTCGTCGCCTCGGGGTCCTTCGTTCGGCTTCGTCGGGCGGCCTGGGCGCCTCTGTGTCGCTGGCTGACGCCACCGTCGGTCGTTGGTCCCTGCTGGAGTTGGCTGCCGCCATGGTCTCTTTTCGTATGGTCTGCAAGTCAGTCCTTCTGAAAGGAGCCCTGTGGATTTCTGGGCACCCCGGGCACCTTGGGCTTGCCTTGCTTCGCCGCCTGCTTCCTGCGGCTGTCTTCTTGGACTTCTGGTCCCCTGTTGGTCGCATCTTCCTTGCGGCCTGCTCGGCCCCCGTGGCCTCCTCCGTGCGTTCGGCCCTCGCGGGACCCTCCGCCCCGCCCTCGCTGTCTCTGCGAGCTTTCTGGGCATACCCCGCTGCTTGAGCTGTTCGCTTCCTGTTTTGTACAGCCTGCTTTTGCTGCCCTCTTTGTAGTTCCTCTGGCCGCCTCCCTACAGCAGGGATGCTTTTCGGCCCTGCATGCCGTAGATAGCACAGGACTTCCCTCTGGCGCGAGTGAGTGAGTGAGTTTAGGGGTTTAGGGTTTAGGACTTCCGGGTACGCACTGTGCAAGGAGGCTCTGCTCAAAGTGGCTACGCTGGCTGCGAACCCCACAATGCATTTCTGCAAGTACCAATGACTAGGATACCCAGTAACCTAAGAATAAAAAGGCCTCTCTTTTTGGTATTGGGTAACTTTATAAGGGACTACAAAAAGGGAATAAGGGTACTACTGGGCATCCTAGAATGATGATCCCGGTTAATAAAAACACTGTAGAACCCAGAGAAAACCCTCCGTTACAAATGCCAACGAGACTCGTGTAAAAACCCTACAAGACACCCCCAAAAAATCCTTGCACACCCTACTTTTAAAATGTCAAATTATAACACCCTAAACTCTAAACCAAAGCCTAAAACCCAAACCCTACACAAACGGAACAAGCGGATCGCCTGCCCGAGCCACCTTTCCAAGGCAGCGCCTCGGAGATCGTAACGTATTGATGTCCGTGATGTGTATTTAGGTCTTTTGTGGTTTAGGGCTTTAAGGATTTAGGGTTTAAGGAAGTTTGAAGCTTGATCGTTGTCTTTTAGTGGCTTTAACAATGCTGCGATTGCGAAGAGTGCGATGCGAGCTCAGAAGGGTTGACACGTACCTGGATGGTTGTCAATATTAGGGTCCCTTTTTGGGTCCCTATTATAATACGGCACCTAATATTTAGGGTACCCAAAAAAGAACCATAATTTTAAATACCTACCCACCCGGGCTCCCGAGCTCGCGGGCCTTGTTGCCCCAGAGGCCCCGGGAAGATTATGTGTTCAGGGATTTGGCTTTATGGGGTTTCAGGTTTGGAGGTTTAGGGTTTAGGGTTTAGGGGTTTAGGGGTTTAGGGTTTAGGGGTTTAAGGTTTAGGGGTTTAGGGATTTAGGGGTTTAGGGTTTAGGGGTTAAGGGCCTAAGGGACTTCGAAACCAAAACTAGGAGACGAATCGGTTCTACGTGTATCAGATATCGCTGCTCAGTCCTTAGCAGCCTTAGCATATCAAAAACACAGAAAAACACGCACTGACACACTCTCGTACTTCCATCCTCTACACTAGATCCTCGACCCCCCAAGCGCCTGTTACCCTTAACCGGGCCCCTGTGACTTGCTATATGCACACATTCGTCCTTCTAATGAGCAGGCGCATATACAGTACACACCTGCGCATCTGGAAAAATGCACGCATGCACATGCGCAATTTATGTGTCAATAACTACATACATGTATACGCTTATGTCGATCTCGAATGCATTCATCATTACACAATCCTTATCCAACCCCTTTCAACCGTTTAGCACCTTGTTAAACCTTATAGAAAAGAAACCTATACGACCCTTACAGAGTCATAATCAACAACCCTTGCAAAACCGTCTAAAACACTACAAAACGATGTAGGACGCTGTAAAACCCTGCAAAACCAGGTTGAAACCCATAAACCTTAAAGCCTGAAACCCCTGAACTCCTAAACCCCTAAACCCCAAAACCCTAAACCAAAAAACTCTAAACCCCTAAACCCCTAAGCCCTTAACCCCTAAACCCCTAAAACCCTAAAACAAAAAAATAAACTTAAAAAAAAAAAAACTAAAACCCTTGAAAAAAAAAACAGGGGGCCCTCAGGGCTCCCGGGCCGTCTGCTGCGGCGCGAGCCATGGCCGAAACCATCTGCACCGTCACCTGAGAAAGGCTTAGGGGCTTCAGGAATTTTAGGATTGGTTGAAAAAAGGGTTTAGGATTTTTTTTAAAAAAGTTTCGGATTTTTTGAGAAAAAAAACATGTTTAGGGTTTAGGGTTTCGGGATTTAGGGGTTTATGTGTTGATTTGTTTCAAAAAAAGGGTTTATGGTTTAGGGGTTTAGGGGTTTAGTTGTGTAGGGATTTAGGGGTTTATGCAAGCAGTCAGCAGACAATTCGAGCGAGAGCGACGCCTGTTTAGGGGTTTAGGGTTTTAGGGGTTTGGGGGTTTTGGGGTTTAGGGGTTTTGGGGTTTAGGGTTCAGGGGTTTAGGGAAGGCTCTGAGGTAGTTGCAGGAAGAATTCAGTATTGTTGTGGGGCTTAGGGGTTTGGGATTTGAGGGTTTTGGCTATGAGGGCTTGGAGGTTTTATAGGGTCTAAGCTTGAGGATAACAGGAAGTATAGGGTTTATCGATCGCTCGGATCTTCTTTCATGCGCTCCAGGATCAAATTTCTGCACTCGGAACTCCTGCATGCCTCAGAAGACTCTCCTAGGAATTTCCAGTCTCAATGATCGCTTTAAGCTGCTTCCACACTTCCACTCATCATTCAGCGCAGAGATGCACTCGGCATTTGACCCTGGCCGCCGCTCACGCTCATGGAGAACAACGGTGGCGTGCTTTTCTGACCTACGAAAGCCCTGAACCCTGGAATCTGCAACACGTAAACCTTACTCCACAGGATCCTATATGCACAGGTCTAGGGTAGGCTACCTGTCTTCGAGCAAGCCCGACTGATTGAGGCCCCACGATTCAAGGGACAGCTTGGATTCAAAGCCTGCGTTTCGAGGTTTTAGGGCCTGGGGCTGGGGGTAAAGCTTGAAAATCTTAAACCCTTCACCCCCTGCAACTTACAACCGAAAACTCTAAGCCCCAAAACTCAAGTCCACAAACCCGAAACCCTAGGCGTAGAAATTCTACAACTCAAAGCATGTGAACCCAGAACTCGAGATGCGAAGCAAACCACGGACTGGTAAAGGTTTGTTGACCCGAAACCCTAATCCCGGTAATTGGGGGTCCACACCGAACCGGTCCTGAAAAGCTCATACCACGAAGCTATCATTTGTTGGACGGAATCCATGCTGGCTTCCCAATCTTGCACATCGCTCTCATTGCAGCATGCCAACAAATAAGTTTTGGCCTGAGGGTTTAGGGTTTGGGGCTTGGGGGTTTCTTGGGTTTGGGGCTTTTGCTCACGGGTTTGCAAGACCCTTTACAAAGCTCCGTGGAAAATGCACAAACGACATCTGACGCATCCAAACCCCAGAGCCAACAACTGTAAATCCTACACTCCTCAACCGATAAACATGCCGAAAAGATGCATGATCCCAAACCCTAAACCCTAAGCCCAAGACCAAAACACCCCGAAACCCGGTTTGGGCTCTCCGACGCCCGAGTCTTTGTCGTGGCTGTGCTTCCTTTGCTTGCCTGCCTTGAATATGAGGAGCGCTAGATGTTTCAAGGGCTGAGAGTTGAAGGTTTAGGCCTTGGGGCTTAGGGGTTTTATGGTTCTAGGACGTGACGCTTAGAGCTTTTAAGAGTTCTACCAGGATTTACAAGTTTGATGCTTGCTTGGGTTGTAGGATCCAGGATAGCGGGCTTGGGGCTCTTTTCTTGAGGAGGGTTTGGGACCGATGCGTCTAGTGCGCTTTTGGGGTGTACGGTCATCGAGATCGTCTTCGTAGCACGCGCCAGGGCTTAGGATTCCGAGCGGTGGCTTCGGGCCTTGCAGCTTGAGAGTTCATGGTTAACGGCTGAACTTCTTCAGGCCCGAGACCGTGCTGACCCTGCACCCTGTACCTTGGGGGGCTTACGTTTAGGCTTTGTTCCGCATCTTGCTTGCAACTGCGAAGAAGGCTTAGGGCTGATAGGGTCTAGGGTCTAGGGCTCCGACCGGTGCGTCCTAAGGTGTAGGTTTGGGGCTTCAGGGGTCAAGGCGCACTATGGGGGCCTGACTAAATCCACTAGGTCTTTAAATCTTTGCACTACCGCTATGTCCGGTTCTTAAACCACACGAAGCAGTATTTCTAGTTATTCAGAACACTACAAACTAAACCAGTTGAGATGTTTCCGGTTTGGTGTACAAGTTTCTGCAGTGCTTAAACATGGGTGGTTGTCAAAATGATGGTCCCTCTTTGGGAACCCTAAATGTTAGGTGCCGTACTATATTAGGGACCCAAAAAGGGATCCTAATCTTGACAAGCACCCACATGTTGTCAAACATTGCCTACTTGCTTTAGCCTGTAGGAGCAGCATCTTCGCGCAAGGTCTCTAGGAACGCGGCTGTGATCCCCCGCGTCTTGCGGGACATCGCGCTTCAGGTGCACAGGACAGGGCCGCTGGAGCTTCTGTACAACATGATCGATGGACCGATGGATGCAACGATCATCCGAGCCGCAAGATCGATCACCGCCGTTATATGATGGAAGAGCCCGGCACAGATCTCTAAGGCACGGATCGCGGACTCCTTCCACTCGTAGTCTGTCGCACATGTAGCATCTCGCGAAAAGACCCGGCAGCAGGCCACGCAACAACATCAGGCAAGGCTCGTCCTCCTGGCCAGTAAAGGCCTGCCGACAGTTTCCCAGACCCCCGGGAGGATCCAAAAAGTAGATCCCTTAATGGGGGTTCCTGTGAAGTACCCTTAGTAGTATAGGGCTCCAAATTAGGGGATCTACTTTCTAGATCCTCCCGGGGGTCTGGGTTTGAGACGGTAACAAACCGCTTGCAACGCGCGAACCGCTTGGCGTGTCAGCATTTGCGAAGCCAACGAATGTACTTCGAAGGTTCGGTCTTTCAATCCCTCCCGGGGGGTTGGATCAGCTGGATGGCAGCTACAGAACCTGAGGTCAATGTGCTCTATCTTACCCACATCGACTTTGGCTGGCACCCGGATCAATCTAAATCCGGGGCGCAATTGCAACCGTTTTGCCTCCAGATCAAGGGCCCCGTGGTGATCTGAAACATTGCGGTCTCAGAATCTCACCATACAAAAACGAGCACAATCATACGAACCCCCCAAACCCTAAACCCTAAACCTCTATGCCTAAACAGGGTTATCATTGAAAGACAAAACTAAGAACCCAAACCCAAAGGCTTCTTCCATAGAGGGGGCG